CCATATTACAACCTGACTGACAGAATTCAGACTGCACCAAACAAAGGACTAAACACATCACACTAGTCACTAGTGTCATATCAAAATATTTTCGCATTTCTTTGGCTACCCATATGGGCAGCCTTCCCAGTCAGCTTCATACATTTTACGTACATTCCACATCCCCATTCTTACTTTTGCTTTCACAGGCAAAAAGCAACAAACTGGCAGAAGAGGGTGGCTGGCTGGCAGGCAGTGAAGATAGAACTGCAGGTGAACACAGGTCTGTCTGTCTGGATTCAACATAGAACTTGGCACCGAAGTGCAGCAGTTCGAGTTGCCACCTTCCAAATAGCACAGAGGTAGACAAGAAGATGAGTGAAGAGAATTTATAGAGTTTGACAGATATAAGAGTGAAACAGAATGGGTAATGGTAGAAAGGAATATGAAAGATTACAGAGATTGAATACATCTGCGCCATTGACAACGATTTGAGCCATGTCACCTATTGTCTCCAGCCATTGATTCCTAGAGTCCGAGGGCCCAACCGGGAGTCTGCATCTCCCTACCTGACTCAGTTTAACTGTCAAGGATTTCAGGATTGATGCCATGTTTTTGTTTGGCCACCACGGCTTTTCATGAACACAGAGGAGACGAAGGTGATGAAGATAACCAACCAAGCTACAGTAAAAACAACAACCAGTACCACCAATCACCATTAACAGAAGAGATTCAACAGAGGGAACGTCCTTTACTTATCCGTTTCAAGGTCGTCTGAAGTCAGTGTCTTTTCTTTGCTGTTGCCATAACATAAAAGCAAAGTAGAGACCTGAAAGAATCCAAAAGGTGCTAAAGAAACTACTGTTTATGACTGCTGAATTTAACAGTGATACTGTAGCTGAGATTCTGAAGAACCGCTTGGACAGATGGCTGAAGAAAGCTTTCTTTTTGGCCGAGCTACGAATCAATTTCTATGGTAAATCAATGATCAATTAGATGTGTGAAGGATGAACTGGCGATTTAGACCATTTAAATGCGTGTTTATAAATTCACTTGCCACATTGAACACTTGCCAAATAGTTCACACCTTAGATATTCAATTTTATTTAACAGTAATGTAGCTCAGCGAAGAGTCCTTTTTCGGTAGCGAATTCATTTTCATAGCTGTACAGTCGCAAATATATTTGTGTTGTTTTTTTGTGTGTGTACATTAAGTTTGTCAAACAAAAATATAATTGGTTATGGTTATTTTAACTAAACAGGTGAAGATTGGTTGTTGGAGTTACGTAATACGAAATCAGTCAAGAAAATTAGGTGTTAATGAAATCAGGGTAGTAACAAAGGTGATGAGTTGTCATAAACAGTTGTTAAAAAAGAAATGTTTGATTATTGAGGAGTTTTACTCAGGATACACATAGGAACAAAGAAGAGAATACGAAATTACGTAAGCGCTCTAAGCAAATACAAGAATTATGAGCACTTGAAGAAACAGGCAAACAAACAACATTAAGTCATCAAAAATCAACAAAGTTGTTACCATGATAATAGAAGTGGTTGAGTAATTCTCTTTTGTATGCACAGCTCCAGTCACCCACCGATCTGCAGAAGCCTCAAGGACAAGATCCCGCATCTGACCACTTCTATGTGCATATATGAATTCACCTACTCCTGTGGAGCCTAGTACATCGGTCGTTCGACGCGCACCTGTCCAAGAGGATTCAAGAACACTATCCAGCATGGTTGGGGAAAGGCAATAGTGGTGCAATAAGGAATGAGATAATTGAACACCTGGTTAACACTGATCACTCCATCTCAACAAATCCCTCCTGCTTCAAAGTAATCTACAGAGTCAAGAATAACCTATCAAAGGCAATACAGTTTCGTCTTCTTTGTATTGCTGAAGCTCTGGCCATTCACATAGGAAAACCGGAGCTGTGCATACAAAAGGGAATTACTCAACCACTTCTATTATCATGGTAACAACTTTGTTGATTTTTGATGACTTGATGTTGTTTGTCTGTTTCTTCAAGTGCTCATAATTCTTGTATTTGCTTAGAGCGCTTACGTAATTTCGTATTCTCTTCTTTGTTCCTATGTGTATCCTGAGTAAAACTCCTCAATAATCAAACTATTCATGCTATTACATAACTTCTTTTTTTAAACAACTGTTTATGACAACTCATCACCTTTGTTACTACCCTGATTTCATTAACACCTAATTTTCGTGACTTGTATTACCAATCTTCACTTGTTTAGTTAAAATAACCATAACCAATTGTAATTTTGTTTGACAAACTCAATCTACGCATACATACCAGACAACCATATATATTTGTGATTGTACAGCTATGAAAATAAATTCGCCACAGAAAAGAGACTCTTCGCTGAACTACATGTTTTGTTTTCAGTGTACCGTCCGTCGCCATCCTAGTTGATACTAGATTGCGGGTAGACACATTGAAGTCACTTAAGTTAGTATATGTGAATATGTAAATCACTGTACGACTACTAATTTGAATTGCTAGATATATATTTTCATTCAAAAAATGCGGTTCAGATTATTCGTTGAAAAGGAAACTATCACTTATAACCATTATCCAACTTGGTAAGCACTGACACCTTAAGCTTACATATCCAAATTTACACTTTACACTTTTATGCTTTTGTGACTTAACTTTTTAATTACTGTATCTACTTTCACATTAAGTAATATTTTAGTTAGTGGCCATGTTACCACTCATCTCGTCCAAGTTTGTTTTGGCTGATCCCAGAATTGTGTAACCACTAATACTATTACCTATGTCCGATTTCCCTTCTGAATTTCTGAATTTTCCTCTCCTTGTGAGGAAAGTTGAGCTAAATATATTATGAATTAGACAGAAGTTGAAATTCATCAACCATTGGGTCGGGTCATAACCGGAAGGCCCAAGGGTTGAAATCCCGGTGAGTGTACGCTGGCTGATGAAGAGTTCGAAACTAGGACGAAAACAGATATCCTGTACTCCTTGTTGACGTCAACACTCATGATCAATCCAGTCACCAAATATAAGAATGTCCCTATTTTGTGATTATAATTTTTTTATAATTCTAACTTTCTGTATAGTGTGGACATTGTAATTGTTTGAATGTTGTATATTCGACCCTTCTATAGATATAATGATTATTCATTCAGTCGCCTAGTGGATACAGATAGCTCCTATTAGTGGGTCAGGAGTGAGTAGACTTCGGTTTTCCTCCCGAATACTCTCATACGGCCATGCGTTCATAGACTCTACTAGGGAATTTCTATTCACTGTCTTCACAAAACAAAGGATGTTTCCCATAATAATGAAAGGGTAAATGCCAGCGTCTGGCGCATACAATCAGACTGGTAGACATGCAGGTGGGGACTTAGAAAATCGAATCTATGGCGTACATGAGTTTCAGAATACGAAATGATCGAATGGTGTACGAACCTACCTTTGGTTGCAGGCAACTGTGGGGATGTAGCTCCTAATACTTCTCTACTGCTTTGTGTATCAGACTTTCAGTTGAAGCCCCGCGGAAGGGGGAGGCAGTGGTCCCTTAAGACAACAACCTGCTTGGATCTGGGCGTCCGGATAGTATTCCAGCCCTTGTGCATTTTACTGACCATGTATTGAGTTTGTTTTAATCAAATAATAGTAGTAAAGTATATCAAAGATTACGCCACAGTGATTGTTTATTTATCCAGCAATTCAGATGATGAAAACCCTACGAGACAAAACGGATTCATCTAATTCTGTGACAGCTGTTCTCATTAAACCATCAAAATTTATCATAGAGGAACTAGTTGAATCATATAACACATTTACACTGAAATTAAAGATGTAATATATATTCTCTGGTAGCAGGGATTGACTTGCTACCAGGGGATAATCTCCTTGACTCATAATATGCAGACGATATAGTCCTTCTAGGTGAGGACTCTGACAAAATGCAGACACCATCCTCTGAACACCTTGAGGTGCAATCTACGAATGTTTGGCATGCGACTCGGTCCCGTCAAATGTAAGATGATGATACAGCACTGGACTACACTGACTCCTAGTTTAGAAATATGGGGTGAAGTGGTAGAGCACGTTGACCGCTTCACTTATTTGGGAAGTACCATCAACCAGTGCCAACGGGTTAATCTCTGACGAAATCTCAGCACGGATACAGAGGGCTAGTTCCGCATACGCCAGTTTACGCCGTCTCTGGCGTAGACGTGATATCCAGCTGGCTATCGACCAAAGAGCGGGTGTACTGCTCAGCAGTCTGCTCCGTCCTCCTTTATGCCTGTGAGTGAGACATGGCCATTGAGAGTGGAAGACATGAAAAGGTTAGCTGTCTTTGATCAAAGGTGCCTGTGTTCTATCTCCTGTGTGAAGTGGTATATTAAGGTGAGCAATATTGAGGTTAGGCCTCGATCAAGTGCTAGGTAAGGAGGGCAGATCAATCGACGAGGTTGTGAAGCTACACAGATTGAGATGGTTAGGGCATGTGTTATGCATTCCTAGCCTAGTCATCGCCTTCCTCGACTGACAGGCGATGCTAGCTGATGTAGGGTCAGGTTGGAAAAGAGCTAGCGGCAGTCAAACCAAAGCATGCCCTGATCAGTCAATGAAATGCACAACAGTTAGTTTAAGCCAGCCACGTAGTAAGATGTAGACTGGCTTCCTGGTTGGGGTCCTCGGGACGGTAAAAACCAATGGTTGGAAACAATTGGTGATATGGCTCAAAGTGAACGTTCTCAATGGCCAGGGGAGATACATCCACTCTCTGTGACTTATGATTTCCAATGAAACTATGTTGTTCTTCGTTATTACTATTCCTTTGTCTCACACCTCTGTTTACTGTCTCTATTATGCATTTCTTCTACTTTCTTCTCTTGCTTTGTGTGCTACAAGGAAGGAGGGAGTTGTGGCGACTTGAACTGGTCCACATCGGTGCAAAGTTCTGTGTCGAAAATAGACAGACAGATAATAAGTATTACGGAAAAAAATAGGCATCAGACTTACCTCCCCATCACCAAGACCACAAACATAAACTGTATTATCAGGTCTTGGATAAACTTCAGGTGAACATTTATACTCTGAACCTTGATATTCCATAAATAAGCATTTAGCATCGATTGGACAATTTTCTATTATCGGTTTTAATATAATACTATGTGCTCGTCTTCCTTGAAATGTATTCGGTTTTAAACAACCTGATGGTAACCATTTAACAGCTTCATTTGACCAAGGTCCAGTTGTAAGGATAACTAAACTAGCTGGTATAAGCTCAGTATGAGAATCTGATGATGATGACGATGATCCGATGACTCGAACAGCGGCAACACATGGAGTAGATGTTTGTGATTTTGAAAATTCTAATCCAATAACACGTGCTATTTTCACTTGTGTACCATCATTGGTCAGATATTGAGTACGACGAAATAATTCTCTGGTGAGTTTTCCTGGATTCACCTAAAAAAAATAAAAAGTGATAAGATAAAATATTGTTGTATTTTGTTTTGATGTGAATAGCATAAATATATATACGAAAGTTAAAATTAAAAAGAGATATATAGCACAGTTGTACTGTAACAACAGAAGACAAGGGCCAGGCAACAGATCGTTTTATTACGAAAATTAACACGTATTTATATATATTTTATGTACATTATTAAGGCTTATGCAATCAGAAAAAGGCGGTCTTCTGATTGGTTGTTTCTCGGAAGTTAAGCAGACAAACGCAGTCTTCTGATTGGTTGTTTTCGATATTTCTCGGAAAGTAGAGCCATCTATCTGCGAATCATATTTGCCCGCGTTTAAGTCTGCTGTGATTGGTTGTTGAATCAGCCTAGATTAATGTCTACCAATCAGCGTAGATTAATGTCTACCAATTGGCTAGCAGCCTGCTCTCACCACAGTACTACTTCAAATTATTAAACCTTGATATTGATATAACAAGTACAGATGTGGTGAGAGCAGGCTGCTAGCCAATTGGTAAACATTAATCTACGTCAATGTCTAGATCACTAATATTGGCTGTGAGAAAATATGAACAAGGCTGATTTAACAACCAATCACAACAGACTTTATGTGGGCAGATATGATTCGCAGATAGATGGCTCCACTTTCTAAGGTTACCCGAAACAATCAATCAGAAGACTGCGTTTGTCTACTTGAGTAAGCTATAATAATGTGCATGAAATATATATAAATACGTGCTGATTTCCGTAATAAAACGATCTGTTTCCGGCCCTTGTCTTCTGTTGATACACATACATAACAAGCCGCGTCGGTGGCGCAGCGGTTGGGACGCTCGCTGACCATGCATATGGTCCGGGATTCGATCCCCGGCTACTGACGCACTCCTTTACCTCGCCAAGCCAGAAATAATGCTGGTAAAGAGGAAAGGTTGGGCATGAGGCTAGCAACCCCATCCTGTAAAATAAACACTGCTACAGAAACTTCAAGCCACTAGCTTGAAGCCCTATGTTCCACTGCGAATGTGAAGGATAAATTATTATTATTATTGTTATTATCATCACATAACAAGCTGCATATACATGTGCAGTTTGAGAATCTACTCAGTCAAACATGTGATCTTGTACCATGGTCTAATTTAGATTTTCAACGCTTTACATCTAACATTACTGATTCTTGCAATCAATACCTTAACGCCAAACTAAAAAATGTAAAGTCTGACAAAACAGCACAAAGAAGAGCTTAAACTATTGACAAATAATAAAGATATACTATTAACACGCCCTGACAAGGGTGTAGGTTTTGTTAGCATATGTAGTAAAGATTACATAGATAAAATGTCACATCTACTTTTCAACAGCACTAAATTTTCGAAAATGAACGCGAAATTAATCAAAAAACAGTTTACCGAAGCTTTAAAAAGAATGAAAAACAATCACCTTATTCGTGAAAAGCTTTGCGAAAAGATTAGATCAACAGGATTTCTAATACCAAGACTCAATGGTCTACCGAAGATATACAAAGCTGGCCTACCACTCCGCCCAATCTTAGACACGTCCGGATCACCTTACCATCCAGTAGCTAGGTGGTTAGTGGAAATCCTCGAACCTGTCAAGAAACAACTATTTATTTATTCTTTTCGTGACACCTTCCAATTTATTGACTGTATACAGGATATAAATACTTCGAATAAACATATGTTGTCTTTGGATGTAGAATTCCTATTTACGAATGTTGCATTGATAGAAATCATATGTTGAATATAGGGATACCCACTAGAGATTTGAAAGATCCGCTTTTGAGGTGTACACTGAATGTACAATTTACTTTCAATGAAACAATCTACCGACAGAAGGATGGTATTGCAATGGGTTCTCCATTGGGTCCCCTCCGCACAGACAGTTTTATGGCCAGTCTAGAAAATCGTCAGTTGAAGTCAACAATCCAAAGTTTTCAGATGTATAAAAGGTACGGAGATGACACCTTTATTATTTGTAATAGTAATTATAAGTTGAATAATGTATTAAATGCATATAATGGTTACCAACCATCCAGCTATAAAATTCACACTCGAAATGGAGAACGAGTCTAGTATTCATTTCCTCGATGTGAGCTTATCAAGGAGGACTGATGGAACTCTGAAGGGATCGATTTATCGAAAGCTGTCATGGAATGGTTAACTGACAAACTTTTACATCTGGGTACCCACTGGTCGAAAACGAAAACGTGACTTATCATCCGTAACCAAAAAATTACTGTACATGATCTTGGAGTTCAAAGGTGACTTAGCTTATGATTAAAAGAAGGATTTCACAATCCGTGAATAGAACATTCCCTGCTGTATCTTTGAGAATAGCCCTTACCAGTAGAATATTACTGCTCAATAACCTGAAAGAAAAGATCCCAGAGTTGACTAACTCTATGTGTGTTTATCAATTCACTGGCTCATTTGGAGCTAGGTATATAAGTCGTTCGACTCGAGTTTTGTCCAAGAGAGTGAGAGAACACAATCCTGTGTGGCCACAAAAAGGTGGAAGTGGAGCAGTAAGTGCGATTATTGTCTAGTCGATAATGATCACCCTGTCTCTACAGCTTCCGCCTTTAAAGTCATCTACAACGCGAAAAGTAATTTGCCCAATTCATTACATATCTAACTCATTGGTATTGCTGAAGATTTGACTATCAAAACAGAAAAGCCAGATCTCTGAGTACAGGAAAAGTTCGTTCAACCCCTCCAACTTTCATGGTCTTAATCGCTCTATGCTAAAGTATGGTAATCGCTAATCATAAATTCGTTTTGTTCATTCAATTTGTATACTCTTCCTTTATTACGTCAATTGTTACTATTACTATTCTCCTTTTGAATTGTTCCCGGTATTATTTCATTTGTTCCACTTGTCATTCTGAATCAGTTTTGTTTTGTAACGTTAAATTCTATGATAACAAGTACAATTGTAATTTATGTTAAAAAAATATACGGAAGTCATAAGCATATCGTTCATGACATTATAAGAATATTTGTGGTATTCCACCCAGAAACACAACTCTAAGAATGCTTTTTTCTTACGTCACTTTGTTTTTATGATAATACTTTAATATTAACTGTTTGTACAACCCTGAAGGCACTTGGATCAGTTGATCTACATTTCAATGAACTTGGAAATTATTATATCAAAGAATGAAGCACTGTCGAATAGAGCTACAGAGCTAAAACGTCAACTCTTTTGTTTAACAAGAGTTCTAACAAAACTCAAGACAAGAAGTTCAACGAAGAGTCTCTTTCCGGTGAATTTATATTCCTCCTTCGCTGTACAACCGTATTTATATACAATCATTTTTTTATGAAACAGGGTAGTGACAAAAGTGATGAGTTGTCAGAATCATAGTTGTTAATATTAACCAGTGCATAAAAGGAGTTGAATAAGTGGTACTACAGTTACAACTCATTGGTCGTCCATTAAACCAAATTATATCTCTTGTTACTCGCATCCGACGCATCTGTTGTCCTGATGCTCTGGAAGACGAATTACACTTTTTGAAAGGCACATTCATACAAAACGGATATCCACCAAAAGATTTATTGACAAGAAAATCAAGTCGAAGATTCAAAGTTAGCACTCACGAGGTGTGCAACATAGATGGCACTAAAATTGAAACCAAGTTGGAAATTAAATACCTAGGCGTCATTTTATCTGCTGATCTTTCCTGGTCGTCTCATATCTTGATGATTCCTAAGAAAATATTTCGTCTTACCACCTTCTACATCAAGGAGAAGTTAAGACATTCTGGTATAACCCAACCCTTACTCCTACAACTCGTTAACTGTTGTATCCTGCCTATTATTCTGTATTGTTCCAAGGCTACTGAAGAAAGACTACACCTTATTACGAAGGATGTTAAAGGTTGTCAGCAGAGGAAGCAACGTGCCACATAACCAACTTGTTAATATTCTGGTCGACAGGCACATACACTCATGTGAAAAATGGGCCAAATCCATTTTATCTAACTCCCACCACCCTCTTCATTCACAACTCTCCCCTTGTATCTCATCAGGCAAAACCAGAAGCCTATGTAGAAAACTATAAGCTCGCACTAGTAAGTACAAAGACTCAACCATACCCTACCAAGCTCGTGTTCTGTGCGATGAAGAAAGCATTAGGCGTGATACCTATAACTTATTAAATAGTCAGTAGAACAACTGGATCTCGTCTTCCCAACTCATATCATTTATAGGTACAACGTTTTCTTTCTTTCTTTTTCTTTTCTCTTTTTTTTAGGTACCGCTTCCGCCAGTAAATATGCTAGTATCTACTTTTCTAACACCTTCAAACATTCTGTTCATTTTTGGCTTTGCTACTGACATGCCAATATGTTGTTGTCATAATGAACTGAGATTTCCTTAATCTATGTAGAATTTTATTTATTGATAATGTACCAACTGGATGCAATACTGTAGTAAAATTGCTGAGAATTCCATTCTGTATCACAAGTATTGTTTTGGAATAAAGCAAATTATTATTTAAGAAAAACAAAAGATATCACCTGTGCCAAAAAAAGAAACTTTACAGGAACCTCGACATCAAAAGCGACTTATTCATTGATGTCCTTAAAAGGAACTTTTCTCACAGTAACGCTGAGAGTAGTGTTCTCTAGTTGCCCACTGATCTGCAGAGGCCCAAAGGATGAGATCTCGCATCTGGTCACTTCTATATGTGTGTGTTGCTGTGGAGCCAGGTACACTGGTCTTTCGACGCATCTCCTGCCTAAAAGAGTTCAAGAATACTATCCCGCATGGTTTCAGAAAGGCAGTAGTCAGTACAGGTCATTCCATCTCAATAAACGCCTCCTTCAAAGTAATTTATCAAGTGAAGAATAACCTACCGAAGGCAATATACTTTCGTTCCCCTTGAGTTGCTGAAGCTTTAACTATTTAGTTAGATAAACCGGAGCTATGCATACAAAAGAAAATTATTCAACCACAGTAACAAGCTTATCGATTTCTAATAATTCGATTTTTTTATTTTTCTAACTTCTTATAACTCTTTTATTTCTTTAGAACTCTTAAATAATCCCATATTTTCATTTGTCTCTATATGCATCCTGATAACAATTCACTCATTAGATTATTCATCTTGTTGCGTAACTCACACAATTATTCAAATCCTTTTATGCACTGACTAATATTAACCACTATGATTGCCAAAACTCGTCACTTTTGCTCTACTACCCTCTCTTAATGAAAAACAAGGATTGTACATAAATGCGATTGTACACTTAAAGAAAATGAATTCAGAGAGAAGAGCCCCCTCGCTGAACCACTTGTCTTGTCTTTACTAATGTCTGGATAGGAATTTTTCATGAATTAACCAGTGGCTTAATGGTCTAAGAGCTAGGTCGCCTTGTAACCAGAAGGTCCTGGGTTCAAACCCCGGTGGGTGCGTACTGCTGAAGAATCCCAAACTAGGGTGGAACAACCGTTCAGTACTCCCTGGCCGGGTTTCTAGTGGTTCTGTAACTGATGTCAGCTAATGATGAAACCCTCCAACCAATCAAACAAAAAATCCCTACAATGACCAATACTTGAAAATTAATCTGATGCTCACTAGCTACTGGCCCTATTCAGGCAGTTAATCTCTGGTTCTAGTGAGAAACCGTGACCAGTACGGTACAGCAGGTTGAAAGTGAGACAGTATCTCATCGAAGAAGACATTGTGAAGTGGTAGCTCTATTTCATGAATCGGCAGAAGTTAGAATTCAAGAACTGGCCATTAGACCGGGTCCAATCAGCTTAGTGTTCTACGAGCTGGCTCGCCTTGTAACCATAAGGTTCCGGGTTCAAACCTCGGTGATTGCGTGCGGCTTAAGAGCCCCAAACTTGGGCAACACAGCTGTCCAGTACTCCCATGCTTAATATTCGAAGTCTAATAACGCAAATCAATAGAATAATAATAATATGATATCTTAAAAACGTTTTCTACAAAATCAACTTAATCATTAAAACAAAAATTCCTATAATCATACCTATCAATACGATTTTGTAGGTCACAAATAGCGAAAACACTAAGCCATATGGAATGAACTATTTCACACAGTTGTAATGTGTGATAATTCAAACATGTATTCGTGAGTAATCTCACACAGAGAAAGAGATGCAATAGACGTAAATAACAAATGTGAAACCTTATTGAAATAAATATTCAATTAGAGTTAGTTATCTGTCATAACAAAAAGTAAATGAAATGAACAAACATGCTTTGAAGTTTAAAAAACATGAAATGTAAACTGCTGTATCGATTTATGGGTTCATGGCTACGGTTGACATCCTACTAGGAGAAAATTAAGCACGGTAATAAGTAGTGAGTGTGGAGTATTGGTTATGAGAAATTAAAAAAACAGAAAAGTATTTTCAGAAGTTCAACAATCCCATTTACTAACCTGTGCAGTATTTGTAGTATTTCCTATCAATGAACAGCTTTTAACTTTTGCACTAATCCATGATGGAGCTCCTGAAACACCAGAAGACTCTCCAGGAGACACAGATATTGAGTAAGTGTTGACACGTCGATAATCACATACATCACCAAATTCTTCTGCTAATTTCATATGTAAATCAAAACCATTTTGAGCCAGAACATCCATTTCATAATGTGAACACCAATCTTTTGCAAGAAAGCCTCCAGCTCGACCAGATGCTGCTGATGCAATCTCTTCTTTCTCAATAATCAATGTACTGATTTTACGTTTGGATAGAAAATAAGCAGTAGAAACGCCGATAATACCTCCACCGATTATGACAACAGTCATTTTATGAAAGATAACGTGCCTAAACTGTTATATATTTCACTGTTTGATTACAAAGAAATAAGCGTCAACTTCAATGAAATTTATGTAAGTTTTTATCCAAAGAGAAAGTTTGATAATTTTGAGCAAGACTAATTTGGATACGTGTAAGTTTCTTAAGTCACCTTCCGTAGTAAAACACTTTCAATATTGACGCATACTGCCTAAGGTAAAAGAAGGAAAGAATTGATTATCTCGACTAATAGTGTTCAAAAAATTGTGTTAGTTTAGTTGTAAAGCATTTTAAATTATCACGGTTGTTTCTTCGCCTTTTCTGTAACTACTTAGTATCTTCTGCTGAATACACAGTCAGACTATTAACATGCTTATTTTTATCAAAGCGGTTGTCAAAGCTATAAGTTAAGCAAAAATAGCTTATGGGACCGGTTTACTGTAACAGGGCGGGAAGTGTATATGATTGATAAAAGTTTCACAAAGAATGAAAGACATTGGTGGACTGTGTACACTAACCTAGAAGAATGTACTCGTATATTAAACGTAGGACCGAAATTAGCAGTGTAATGTACTGCCGATGATAAGCAATACTAGGGAGGAGGTATAATCAGATGAGGCAAAGGCTAACAGCCTTTCTGAATACTTTTAGGATGTTTTCTCGTCTGATCGTACCACCCAGGGATTTAGTGAGGTCACTGCCATTGCCACTAAAATAACCCCAGTTGTGGTAGACAACGGAGTGGGTTTTAAAACATCGTCTTAACTGAAAGGAGGAGAATTAGCAGGGCCAAATAGGCTCCAGCATAGACTGTTAGTCTCACTGACGGATATAATATACTTGCCACTTAGGGAGATTTCTAGAATGTCCCTGACTCAAGCCAGGCTGCCAAGGGATTGGAAGGATGCAATTATAAACCCCATCTTCCGAGGGGGGAAGAGGCAATCGGTACCTAACAATCGGTCTGTAGGTCACGAGGGATCAGCTATTAGCTGACAATGAGAAACATAGCTTACTAGAGGAGAAACAGCATGGATTCCGACGAGGACGATCCTACCTAAAAAAATTCACTTTTAGCTAGGGAACACTGCGTAGAAATCTGGGATAAAAACCTACCGCTATTGGCCTTAATACAGTATTCGAAAAACTGTCGCTTCGGTGAACTAAAGGGTTTTGGACTAGACCAGCGCCTGTGTAGGAGACAAAAGATAAGGGTTAATGGTGTATTGTCAGGCCGGAAAACAAGTACTGAGTGGAGTGCCACAGAGAACTGTACTCAGCTCCTTGTTATTTTTATTATGCGTAAACGAACTACTGGAAATTTGTACTTCATCTTTACCACTATTTGCAGACAATATTAAGATCTGGGAAACGGTAAGAAATAACGACGATAAGTCAGTCGTACAGGGTGGCCTACACAAATCACCTGAATGGTCTAACCTCCAAGTTGGAAATTAATTCCAGATAAAGTGCGGTAATTCACTGAGGTCAGAGGTCTTACACGTTATACTCCCTGAGGGACAGAACTGCCCCGATATCAAGAGTCAGGACTTAGAAATTTTTGTCAGCCATGATTTGAAAACAACTGCAAATTGTAATACAGATGCATTAAGGCTTTTCAGATGTTATGGGCACTTCGAACACTCAGATGAGTCTACGTTTAAAGTTCTACAAGCAACACAAATCAGGCCTTATCCAGAAAACTGTATACCAGTGGTCAGTCCATGCTTCAGGAAGGAGGGACGTATCTTGTAAAAAGCATAGGAACTAAATTAGTTTGTGGTATCCCTCGAGTTCCTTATGAAAAGATGATGGAACATTTGAATCCCCTTCCATTATCATACCGAAGCAGGAGATGACTCAATCTTGGCATACCACATATTACAAGGTGATTTGGGAATTTCTCTCTTCGCCCTCTAGGATACTTTCAAAAGTTACCTCAAAATGGTGGACGAATAAAATGCGTGTGGGGAATCCAACGGCTGTAACTCCTTACCCTGCCAAATAGTATCAGCTCCACTGACGGACACTTTCAGAAAGGAACTAGGTCTTTGCAGAGGTATATATTGAAAGGATTTACACAGGTCATAAGAACCTTCTATCTTTATTATCTGAATCTGAAAACCCTGTTAATATTCACTTTATGGGCTTAGGTAACAACCTCGCTTTGTCATTTGACTTTTATTAAATCTTTTGGTTGTGAAACCGATAACACTGTACTTAATCGATATTACTTTAACGCCTAACATCGAGTACTTATTTAGAACATTTTTACATCACTAGGTGTAGGAAAGTTACACTGACTGTTGTAACTTAAACTGGATCGTAATGTACTTCTTCCATAATCTAGGCGATTAGTCAAAGTAGAAAACATCATCGATATCTTTTAGGATGTTCAGAGACAAAACGGTTGTACTACCAATCTACAATAATTACTTTACGGTTCTCCAAAACAAATAATAGATATTTAATTGTGAGGCTAATGTGAAACCGGACAGCTACCACGACAAGAAGTATTTTTGAGATATTTGTATTCATCTCCCCTCGCCTAATTTTTTCGTATTGCTTCACCAAGTAAATCACTCCCAAAAATGCTAAACTTCCCCACAGATTTCCATTTGGGTTAAAACGAATACCGTCCCTATCGTAGGATAAGGATAGCACAAAATGTGTATCTTTGCCACAGAACTATTCCATCTGTGCCGATCTCTTTCTTCACCTACCCACGATATCCAAAATCTCCCGAATTTACCCTAATAACTGCCTGAAAAATATGCATTTATATATATGGTTTCCCGGTATATTAACTGCAAGATGCTTTCCATTCCTCGAAAAAAATGTTATACGCTTATAAAAAGTCATGACTGAATACACCAAAACTCCTTGCACTATGAAGCAATATATAAACGGAAAGAAACAATTAAAGATACATACAGTGACCTAGACCAATCAAAAGTCCTCCTTAATTAGTTCAATACCAAGTAGAGGATTAAAACAAACAAAGTAAATATTTTAGCTTCTTCGTCTTCTTCATCATTCCTAGAAGTGGATACAGATTACAAGTGCCTTCCTATATAATCAGTAAAGTCATTTTTATACTAAAACGTTTCAAAATATGATTGGTTTCTATAAGCTTCACAAAATTCATTACTATGTGAAATGGAGTCAAACAGCCTTAGCAGAGTAGAATAACTCCATCTTCACAGTAACGTACAACTTGTAAGCTAACAGTTATTCGTTGTAGATTAAATGCCCTTGCTGAAACCATATCATACCTCCCAACATGTATCACCCTAGACAAGATATTCTGTTGTACGCTCGTCGACTAACCCTGTCATTAACTCCGGAATTGCCCAAAATACTACCACAAGAATGGAGCAGCTGGCTTTCTAAAATTATTGTAATAGATTATGCGGAAAATCGCATAGGTACCTGGCGTTGATTTGCCTGAAAGAGTCCCTCTCGAGCCACAGGGCAACTTGGATTTCCATTCAACACAACGGGTAATTTTTTCTATATTTCTTGTTGTATTAATCAATCACTCATGTACTCTGGTTGCAAAAATTGCTTGTTCATATTTTTAAGCGGATTTTGACATATAGCTATGCATTTCCAGGCAAGAAAACAAACAGTTTAAGGAATTAACGTATGGTGCATACCGAACGGGACTGCGGTAGACAATGTACTGTAGATTACTGTTTCAACCGAAGGTACTGGGTGAACAGTAAATATTATGCGATGAACCACGCTGCGAATTGTAGACGCTTGTTCAAAATAAAGATGTCATTATCAAAGACTTGACCAGATCAAACTTATTTAGCTTGCCGTGGACCATAGTAGGTCTCTTTTAAGCTTTTGTGGAGCCACCTGTTCACTCCCTGTTTCGATGACTCCGCAATGTATGCCTGCAGTCCGAAATCCTGATGACATCACTGTTTCTGGATGTATAACTGGCCTTTATGGCAGACGCTTGCAGTGTGAAGCTTGATTTAGCTATTCCTCTTAGGAAGGAATAAAAAGATTACAATGAGGTCTGAAGCGGCTGCTTCTTACAATTCTTACACTATCCAGGACAAACCGCATGCGCAAATATCAGTTTTATGTGCACCATTTCTATAAGGAAAACTACATGTACTGGAATAAGGAGTTATTGGCTCTTTTAACTGAGGCCGATTTTTGTACGACTACCTATCCTGATGAACTTACAGTGCCAAACAACAGCACGAATACTCAAACTTTCTGGCTCAAACCTGATGTTTAAGATTCAGTTGACACTAACAAACAAGTAAAGGAAGAATATGAAAACACTTCATAAGGTGTTAGCATGGGTCGACAAGATAACTCAAAATGATGAAAAATATGAAAACACTTCCCATGCGATCCTTGAGGCTTGATATTTGTGTGTGGTTTTGAATTTCCAGATTGTAAATTGACAACAGGCAATGGTTAAAGACGTAGCAATTATTCTGTGAGGTTCAGGCTTTTGATAGAGAGTAAACCCACAGACATAAGTCACAGGATGAGCTGAGCAGCTGAGCTGCCTGTTCTGAGGAGCTTAAGGCATTTATTTTAATCCATGATGGATGAAATTGTTCATGACACATCGATAAATCATATGATGAATGAGACAAGCGACCGAATTTTGCGGTGATGCCTATTTCGAAGAAGTTGAAACTGGTCAGCCAAAGAGTTAATACGAGTGGAATTTGCGTTTTCAAGCAGAATTTCGGAAGACCGTTAGTGCTTATTTCACCAAATAGCATAAACTTAGCCTGGTATCAGTAGGCATTGGGACACCATCTGTGAACTTTTCAGTGATTGGTTTGCAAACTTTAGTTTAGAAACGCGTATGCCTGGTGAAACCGCCCCCCTTACTAGTTCTTCCTCGAAAGCACTGTGTTCACCAACCAATTAATAGAACAAGTAGTTAAAGCCTTAGACCTTCCACTAGTACGGGACCGGATGGCCTCGCTTCGATAATTTTCAAAAACAGTGGGTGTAAAAACCCCTG